CAGGTGAGGCCTCCCCAGGGCTGAGGAGAGGGGCAGGATCACCTCCCTCCACCTGCTGGCAACACTCTGCCTCATGCACCCCAGGATCCCATTGGCCTTCTTCGCCACAAGGGCACACTGCTGGCTCAGTGCTGGCACACTACTGGTCAGCTTCTTGTCCACCAGGACTCCCAGGTTCTTCTCTGCAGAGCTGCTTTCCAGCAGGTCAACCCCCAGCCTGTCCTGGTGCCTGGGGTTATTCCTCCCGAGGTGCAGGACCCTACAACTTGTCTGTGTTGAACTTCAGGAGGTTCCTCTCCGCCCAGCTCTCCAGCCTGTCCAGGTCCCCCTGAATGGCAGTACAGTCTTCTGGTGTGTCAGCCACTCCCCCCAGTTTAGTCTCATCAGCAAACTTGCTGCAGGTGCACTCTGTGCCTTCCTCCAGGTCATCGATGAATACATTGAACAAGACTGGACCCAGGACTGACCCCTGGGGGACACCGCTAGCTACAGGCCTCCAATTAGACTCTGCGCCACTGACCACAACCCTCTGAGCTCGGCCATCCAGCCAGTTCTCAATCCACCTCAGCCTCCACTTATCCAACCCACACTTCCTGAGTTTCCCTAGGAGGATGTGATGGGAGACAGTGTCAAAAGCCTTGCTCCTCTATTAGAAAGTTATTATTGTATTGCTAAACTAAGTTCACACATTTGGACTACCATCCCATCAAAAGGGGACTGACTGGCGCACACACACTCCCAAGGGAGGGAATCCCCAGCACTAGTTTGTATAATGCATCGATGTTTATATAAGCTGAAAGAAGTAAAACATACTGAGAGACACTATACTAACAGAGAACATCAATAAAATAAATAATAGCCCAACTGATCAACGTAAATGTACACAAAATTATTGGAGAAGCATTTCCAGATGAGTTTCTTTTTGTATATGAAGCTAGAAGGCAACTCAAACCAGTTTAACTATCTCTACAATAGAAACACCAACCTAGTACCCATGTCCTGCAGTCTGCATTCAATTCACTATGCAACCGATCATGAATTCTAGTTGCCTGTTAGCAGTCTCCTTTGCACAGCTCTGCAAACACACGGAACAGATGAGTATGGCCTGAAGCACATTAGCTCCCACCAATTTCTCCACATTTAAAATTCTTCTGGCACACACAGCCTGCCCATAGGGACACCAGTACTACAGAAGTCATAAGACAGGCACAAGATAAAATTTCTTTTAAGGACTCCCACGGTAATTCTGTATCATCTATTCCATTTCATGATGGCTGAATTCTTTTACTGAGACACAACAGCATATTTAAAATTCCAAGTAAAAATCTCATTCGGAACCCTGTAAAGTAATCTACAACTAGTTTCTAATAGGAATTTATCCGCCATAGAAAGGTAACACTCAGACATAACCCATGGGAAAAAAAAGCATTTCTTAACCCCCCAAAACCCCATAAAGTATGATGAGAGACTTGAGTATTCAGAAATCATAGATGCATAAATAGAACACTTCAGTATCTACAACTTTAAAAGCTGGTCAGAAACATGTGGAATGTCAGCCAAGCACCATAGGTGTCTCCAATATATTTTAATTTTCTACCTTTGGATCAAGGTATATTTTCTATTTCTACTTGCAAATAACCAAGTCCATGAAACTCTGTAAAGTACCCTGAACAAAATGCTACAGTAAAATTGCAGTTTTCAAGCACTTGCATTTGGAAATGCCAGAATTAAGAGAGTAAGTTATCTTTGTTTCAGTCTCTTCTGCATTTACAAAACACAGCAGTTGTAGAATCAAACACTATGCTTCTAGAGAACCTCTCCACCTTTTTCAGCGTATGACAACCTGCCAGAAAGATGACAGAGGCTGTTACCAACAAAACTCCCGATTCATTTTCTTAAGTTAGAAAGCACACTGAAAATGAAGATGGAAACTGGAAAGGCAGGAGTAAGAAGGAAGATCTCCACACTGCCCCTGAACAGGGTTGTCCTTCAACAGGATTCTATTGCTGTCTGTACCACAGATGTATAGGAGGTCCTCTATGACAAAACTCTCCAGTAACAATTTTATCTTCTCAGTTTCCGGGTGTCCAACTTCAGATCTGAGGAGCTGAGAGTTCACAGCCACAACTAAAGTCAATGGGAAATGTTCTCTGAACATAGGAAGTGCTATACAATGCTCTGAAACACTTTGGTCCTAAATAATAATCTCAAATCTAAAAATACAGTTGATCTTAATAGTCTTTTTCAGTTTCACATGTTTAAAATAGGAATGCAACAACACATCTCAAAAGGTATTTTGAAGTTATACTCACTAATACAGAAAAGGCATTCAGATACTATGAACACCACAGAACTATTAATTTCTTCAGAGACATTTTTGAGATTACCTCT